AAACTAATTAAATTCAAAGCTGAACTTGCTCGACTTATTTTATTTGTAAATCGGTCATACTGACGACTTCCTGAACTTAGTCGATTGAATTACCTAAATTACTAGATTTCATTTTTTTTTTTTCCAAAAAAAAATGACCATCATATCACGAGGAAGCTTTCAAATTTAACGCTTATTTGTTTTAATAAAAAATTAAAAATTAATGAAAATTTTAAAATAAATTTGAAGCCTTAATAAGGGCCAAAGGAATTGTATTTGTATTTGCCAAAGAAATTCTAGATTCTAGCTTAAATGCTTTATTGTATTTTCGTGGTGGGGCTTCGGGGTAGGGGTAGCTTTCTTCCTTCTAGTTTTAAAATTCTAAAAAAAGAAAAAGGAAGAATCCACTCCCAAGGACGTAGTTGACCCAGAACAGAAAACGTTGAATTATTTCTTTAGGAATGCTAAGGGTAGTCGCCCTTTTAACCACTCATTTTACCACCCTCCACATTATGCAGCCACGTAGCATAACATTAAATGCACAAAGGGGAAGCGGCCACACTCAGCATAACTAAAGCGATGTACAACTACTAATAAAACAAAATAAATTAAAAGAAAATCTTTTCTCTAACACTCTGTCAGACCACTCTCTCCTTCTCCTCCACACAATCCATAAAAAAATCAACACGAAGAAAAAACCAGACTTGGCCTAAAAAACAGCTAAGCTTACCCACAAGAGGAAGCTCCAAAGCTCAACGCATTTCTGATTTCTCAATCCCCAATTGACAATCCTGATGAAGTGTTAAAAAAAAAAAAAAATGCAACATACAATACAAGGAACAAAAGAACTTTTTCTCTGTAGGATTTATAATTTATATTATTGTTAGGGAGAAAATTTCAAATTTCTTGTTATTAGGTAAGTATGAACTGCTTTAGTTAAAGTCATAATAAATCTCCTGTAATATATTTTTTTTTATATACATAATCTCCTGCACTTTTGATATCTTTAATTGTTCTCAAGGAAACCAAACGGATTTTGGAACTTTGAACTTTTTTTCTATGCCTACTTTCCTTTCTTTATTTATTTTTGGGGAAATTATTTTACAGGACGAATGGTAAATAATTTATTTTATAAAATTATTTAAATATTTTTAATTTTAATTTTATGTTATTTTATTAAAAATATTTAAATAATTTTATAAAATAAACAATAATTTTCTTTTGAGAAAATTGTTTTGCAAAGTAAATTACATAAGTTCGTCCTGTAAGCTATCTTATAAAATAATTATTTGTTTTCATTTCCTTTTTGATATTTCAAGATTATTTTTAAGAAAACCCAAAAATTAATGGTATATTTCAACATATCTCTCAATTTCGGAGTAGATAGCACATCAATCACAATTGTGGAGACGATTAATTCAATCAATTAACCTCTTAGGTTTCAAGATGCCCCAACCTTGTCTACTATTGGCAACGGATTCATTAGATTGTAGTTTTCTTTACTTTGTTGATCAATTTTTGGGATGCCATGGAATGATGGATTAGTGCATTTTATAGATTTAATGAATTATTTTCCTCCAACGATTATGGATTGGACTATGGCTCACCATTTCTTGTGCCGGATTGGGTTAATGCGTTCCATCTGCTTCTAAATTATTGGATTGTGTCGAAGAGAGGAGAGAGAAGCCTGAGTTTTGGGAAATAATTTTTTTTTTAACAATTTTATTTCTAGTTTCATCGGCTGCATCTTCTCTCTGTTTGAGTATTTAATTCTGTGCTCTGTAGCTGTATAATGTGGAAGCTGGTAGAGCGAGTGATGAAAGGGCGACGGCCTTGGCATTTCTCTTATTTCTTATTGATTGGGAACAGTACCTGAATATATAATAATGTGCTAAGGAAGTTCGATTGATTTAAGTCAGGAAACAGAGCTTTTAATTGACATTCCTGACCAACGATTTGTTGGATCAAGTGGTAAATAATTTGTTTCAATTTAAATAAGATTAAGATTTTGAGTTTAAGACTTTGTGTATATAACAGTTTTCGTTGGGAGACTCACTCATCATTTTTAGGTGCACGATGCAGGCCGATCTAAATTAATCGGAGCAAAATCCCAAATACCGAGCGGAAACAAAAAAATTTTTTTTGACATTTCTGTTCTACTGCTACTATCTCGAGCCAATATTAAATGACTCTGGCTTGACTTAAGTCGGTTTTTTTTCTTTTTTTTGAACATTGACTTGAGTCGGTTTGGACCAAGTCTTTGGTAGAGTAAGAGAGGAACTATCTACGGTCAAATTCATGTAATTTTCACATGTAATAACATCATTTTTTTCCCTAGTTGTCTATTATCTATTTTCAATGAAAATAAAAAATTTTAAATTTGAGTTATATATATCAAATAAATAGATTATGAAATAAAAAAAAGTTTTTTTTTATTATATAATTTAATATATATTAATATTTATCAATACTTACTAAATTTTATTACCATCAAGGCCTAAAAAGATTTTAGTCAAATTAAAATATTTTTTAAAATCTATGTCACTTTTTATGATTATTTGAGTATTTTTAATTTAAAATTTAAAATTATTCAAAAAATTCTATTATTCAAATTCGGATTCACTTTCTTTAGCTTTCAAGCATTTAAGTCAATTTAGATTCATTGTCTCCTATTGTCCTCATCTCTTCAATTTAAAACAATGTTTTCAATTCTTTTCTACTCCTGTCCCCACCTGTCCACAAACATTATAATTCAATTCTTTTTCACCAATAAATATCGATTTTCTTTTATTTTATGATGAATTCAGTCATTATCCTCATTTTTCTTAATTTCATCTATTAATTCAATTGACAATGGAATTTTCGTTTCTTTTACACTAAAGTCTTTGGTTTATATTATTTTTCTATTAATTTAAACTTAAATTTCAATAATTATCCTTCGAATCTATTTCTATTTAGATTAAGTAAATATTTGGTAAATTAAGGTTACCTTATCCGGATATTTAAAGGCATTAGTATTTAATAGATCTTCAACTAGATGTAAATAAGCATACTAACTTTGTCTCTATTTTTATTTAAAAATATTAATTTATCAATCTCTAAATAAAGATATTAATTTTTAGTTTTTTTATTTAAGGGGGTTAATTTTCAATTTTTTTATTTAAGGATATTAGTTTTTAATTTTTTTTATTTAAGAATATCAATTTTTAACTTTTTTTATTTAAAAATTAATTAAATGATAATGCTAACATAACAAACAAATATAAATATTGAAGTTGACATCCTTAAATAAAATAAAAGTTAAAAATTAACATTTTGAAATAGAAAAACTTAAAAATTGATATTTTTATTTAGAAATTGACAAAATGATAATGCTAACATAACAAACAAATATAAATATTGAAGTTGACAACCTTAAATAAAATAAAAGTTAAAAATTAACATTTTGAAATAGAAAA